CGTAAAACTCACTAAGAAGGAAGCGTGTGCGATGATCGTCTCCTCTCTGCCCAACCCGTCCTCGCGTTTTAACAAGAAGTTCTCGTATCCGGCAGGTTCCAAGATTCTGAGGGGTCCCATCCACTGATGTACAAATTTGGTCGCCCGTGGCCCTCTTGGCGGATTATACATCCAAACACGGTCCCCGATCTGAAACTCCCGTTTGTTCCGTACATTTCTATTGTAGGACTTCGCCTGACGTTCCTGTTCTCGTACGCGCGCCACTTCCGCACACCGTCTGCTGTGTTCCACTGCTGTCATCAATTGCTCGTGATACACCGACAATTCGCCTGCTTCGGTCACCTTGGTTCGTCTCAAGAGCTCGTTCGGCGACCTCAATCTGCGTCCCATCATTAGTTCGTTCGGGGACAGCTTCACCGTTGAGTGCTGTGCCGAGTTGTACGCGTACGCTGCAAACTTCACCCACAAGTTCCAGTCCTTTTGCGTCTCATCCTGCATGAACACCGCGACACAGTCCTTCCACGTCCTATGGAAACGTTCCACTAGACCAACCATCTGAGGTCTGTACGGTACCGGGTTGATCTGCTTCGCTTGTAACAGACTCACCAGCTCGTCAATGACATTACCCGTGAGTTCTGGAGCTCCATCCGTCAGTAGCTCGCGAAACACACCAAACTTCAGTACCACTTCTTCCATGAGAAACCTCGCTATGTCTTCTGCTGTATGCTTCACTGCACAGCACGCCACCGCATACCTCGTTACGTATTCCAGAGCCGCGATGACATAACGTTCTCCACCGTCAGCCACAGGGAAAGGTCCAGCAACATCAAGTGCCCAGCGGTCACCGACCTCTCCTCCTCGTATACTGCGTAGGGGCGGTATCACCTCCCGGGGTCTTGCTTTCCTACTGCCGCACTCCGGACAGCCTCGTATCCAGCGATTTACCTCACGTCGTAACTTTGGCCACCAATACAGTTGCGCCACCCTCCCATATGTGTGTGGTCCTCGTAGATGTCCAGACCATATCAACCCATGCATCTCCTTGAATACAGGTGCCCACATCGTCGGTGGTAACAAGACTCGCCATCCATGCTTGGTTTCAATAACTGCCAACCCGAATCTCCGGTCGACTTGCATACCTCGATACGATCCCGCCTCCGTCACTCTCTTGGTGAACTTGCTCTCGTTTTGTGCCGCCATAATCTCCGCGTCACTCAACTGGAGCGTGCCAGCCGTCGGTGCGTCGTTATCATCCTCCAAGTAGTCGGTAGCCGCTGCCGTGGTTATCGTCGTAGGGGCCGCGCTCTTGCTTCGTTGTTGATCCGCATTCGCCGTCGGATTCGCGTATGAGCTCGTTGCTGCTCGTTCATCCCTCACTGTCGCTCCGTCATCATTGCCGCGCCACCCGGTTCCAACGCCGTTGCTCCTGGCTTCTAGGCACCATTCGCAGGTGTCGCTGTCGTCGCTCGGAGTGCCGTCGTACTACTGGTTGGTAGTGCCGTTGCAGGGCCTACTGTCACAGTTGCTGCTCCATTGCTCCGCGCCGCCACTGTCGCCATTCCGGGTGTCGTTTGCTCTCCGCTGGTGCGCCCCGTCGTTGCCGGAACTACCAAGTCGTCAACCACTGGCGCATCGCCGCTCGTCGTCGAGGCCACCACCACGGTAGGTTCTTGCTCGTCCATGAACCGTACCCGCTTCTGCCCTTGCTCACGAAGTCGGGCACTGCGCCGTGTGGCTGATCCCGCCGTTTTCTTGGTGCGTCTCTCTCGTCGCATTGGCGTCTGGTCAGTCGCCATTACCGTCTCAACTGCCGTGTCGCCCGTTGCACCAGTCGTAACCCGGTTCTCCGTCGCCGCCATTCTCGATGCCGCCGGTGTGGCCGTCTCCGGATCAGCGTCATCCTGCGCGTTCACACCCGTTGCCGTACTGTCCGTCACTCCCGCCACCATCGTCCAGTCGTTTGTCTCCGTCGTTGGGTCAGGTGCCGGTACCGCAGTTGACAATGCCGGTGTTGTCGTTGCTGCCTCGCCCAATGCTACTGCTGTCGCTGGTCCAGCTTCCATCATCGCGACAGTACCCGTATTCGTTGTCGTACTAGCCGGGTTCGCTTCCGCCACCCGTATTCGCATTGCACCGTTCGTCCTCGCGCCGCCGTTGTTCGCTCTGGGTATCGCTCGACCTTCTCTCGGGCGTACCTCTGCCCTTACAGCTTCCGGAGCCCGTGATAAGGCGTCTGCCACCACATTCGTTGATCCAGGGCGATATTCAATTCCGAAGTCATATTCCTGCAAGGTCAAGGACCAGCGAAGGAGCCGTCCTGCTAAGTTCGCCCGCGTCATTAACCACTTCAATGCGGCGTGATCGGTGATGATGCTGAAGGTTCTGACGGCCTGAAGAGCTTCACCGACCAGACCACCGCCAGACACTCGAGTTCAGTAATCGAATAATTAGATTCGCGCCGCTGTTCACCTTCGAAGCGTAGGCCACCGGCTGCCATCCGTGCCCGAAATCTTGCATGAGGCAGGCGCCTAATCCTGTCTTACTGGCATCCGTCACCAGTCGAAACGTGCGTCCAAAGTCCGGATACCGTAGCAAAGGTCGCGTAGTTAGCAGGGCCTTAATTCGTTCAAACGCCTGCTCCTGGTCCTCGGTCCATTCCCACCGGCAGTTCTTTTTCAATAGTCGCGTCATCGGCTCTGCAATCGATCCAAAGCCGGCTATGAATTTTCGGTAGTAGCCCGCAAGGTGGACAAACCTCTTGACTTCCGTAGCGTCGACCGGTCTCGGGAAGTCCTTCACCGCTCTTACGAGTCGCTCTGTTGGTTGCACGCCTTCGCTGCTTAGCGTGTGTCCCAGATACTCCATCGACTCCGACACAAAATTGTATTTCTTGAGTTTGAGGCTCAACCCCGCACTGTTCAACCGTTCCAACACATTCGCCACTTCAACCACATGCTGCTCAACGTTGCCTTTGGTGAATATTACGATGTCGTCCAAGTACACCAGACACGTAGTCCATGTGAGACCCCGTAACACACCATTCATGAGACGCTAAAACGTAGCGGGCGCATTGGTCAAACCAAATGGCATCCGCGTAAATCTATACAATCCTCGTTTTGTTAAGAACGCCGTCTTGTCACGGTCGCCACGAGCCACCTTAATTTGCCAATAACCAGCCTGCAGGTCTAGAGTGGTAAACAGTCTTGCACCGCCCAACGCCTCCAACGTTTCGTCTATTCTCGGTAGCGGGTAAACGTCCTTCTTCGTTACCCTGTTTAATGCACGATAGTCAATGCAGAATCGTACGGATCTGTCCTTCTTCTTGACCAACACTACTGGGAATCCCCACGCCCCATTGCTCTCTTCAATGACGCCAGCCTTCAGCATCGTGTCCACGTTCTCCTCAATGGTAGCGTCCTCAGTCTGGGCCTGCCGACGTCGTTTCATCAGTATCGGGGCAGCGTCACCAGTATCGATGTGGTGTTCTACCTCGAGGGTCGTCGCCGGCGGGCAATCCTTTGGTGCTTCCGTCAACTTCCGGAACGATCGTAGTAATTTCAGAACCAGCTCGCGCGTAGCTTCAACCTCCACGCCGATATGCACGTCACTTTCGTTTTCCAGAGGTGTCACTGTGTCACCCAATTTGCTTAGCCACTCTTCTAGCCTCTCCGTTCGAAGTTCTCCATTCATCGCCAACAACGGCATATCAGTCTGAAGTGGAATCCATGTGCCGAGCTCCTTGCGGTTAGGCAGCTTCACGCGTCCTCCATACGCATTCACCGCCGGTATTATGGCTTTCCCGTTGCGTACTTTCGTCACTGCTGGTGCCAACAACACTGCACCGGTCTCGAACGCCGGAATAAACACACCTTCTTCTCCTTCTGGAGCCGCGACGGACACTTCTACGGGCTGTACGGCTCGCCGTTCCAGGTTCGCTGCACCAACTAATCGCACATTCGCCGTCTGGCCTTCATCACTCATGTGGAACGGGATAACGACGTTTTGGTCCTTCTCGTCGTAACGGAGTTCGCCACCTTCGAAGTCCAACGTCGCACGGTGCTTCTCCAAGAAATCAACGCCTACCAGAAACTCGCTGGTACAGCCCTCGATAATACATGCTGTAACTTCCACTGTCTGCCCGAACACGTTCTGCATACGAAACTGCCACAGGCCGAGTACGTCGAATAAGAAGCCACCGATGTCTTCGACACAGTCAACCGGAGCCGCTTTCTTCACCCGTTCGCCCTTCAGCATCCAGTCCGTGCCGGCCACCGAGTATCGGGCGCCACTATCGATCTTCACTGCTCTTCGCTCGCCTTCAATCGTCATCGTGGCCGTAGGCAAACCATCTCGCGCTTCTGCATTGTCTACAAGCCCACGGTTACCGTCTGCTACCACCAACACCTCAGAAGTTCGCACCAGGTTCACGTTCACCCGGCCCGTTTCATCCTGAGCTGCACTACCTCCGCCGCGTTTCCATCGTTCCGCCAGTTCCCGTCGGGCATCCACTTCCTGTTGTCGCCGCCGTGCACGTGTTTCCGCCTCCAACTCAGTCACTGCTCGTGCCACCTCGTCGTCATCCACACCTATGGCCGTCGTTCTCGGAGTACACTTCGCACGTTGGCGCCTCGCTTTTCTGAGCTGTCACTTCGATAAAGTGTCGACAGCAGCCGTAGTTTTCCAGTGGGGTTCCGTCGGGTCTGGCGTCTCTGCTTCATCAACGACCATTTTGTCATCCAAGGCCACCGTCGTCGAGCCGCCCTCATGCTCATTGTCAGGTGCCGCGCCTTCCTCAGCCTGTCGTTCGTCTGTCATCCGGCTACCGCCTTCCTCAGTCGACCGCACCTCGCTTTGTCTCTCTTCCTTACGCTTCCTTCCGTAGCGTAGTGCTGCCATTGCTGGTCTCACCGTTGACACATACCTTGCCGCTCGTTGCTCGTCACGCGCGCCAAGATCACTATCCAATTGAGCACCTATCGTCGTCTGCACGGCTGCTATACTCCCGTCCGTTCGCACCGTCCTATCGTTCGTCACTGCACACTCATCTTCGACGTCGTCGATCACTAGGGGCTTCTTCTCCTCCTGGTTTCCGTCATCGTCCGTCTCCTCCGTTTGTAGGGGTCTTTTTCGTTCGACCTGACGCCGAAATCCCCCTACGGCGCCCGTTCTTCGTTTTCCTTCTCCGGGAGCTTCTGCGTGCGTGCCGCCAGGTAAGCGTCGTTGCGTGCCTTCGCTTCCGTATCCGGGCATTCTTTTGCGAAGTGACCAGGCCTTCCACAAGCGTAGCACGCCACTTGGGCCATGGGTCGAGCTATTGGTCGTGTCTCTGCCGGCTGTAGTGGTTGTTCCGTCGCCCGTATGGTGCGGGTCGTGGCCTTCAAACGCTTCGTCATCTTATGGCGCTTGGCAGGGCGTGCCGAAGCCGCTGCATCGACCAGGACATCCTCACTTGTTTCCTCGTCATTGCTGTCTTCCACGCGTACCATTCTGACCTTGGCAACGCTCTTCTTCTCAGTCTTCGCCACCGCCGGTGTTTTCGTCACGGAATCTTCAACTGCCGGCTTCGTCATGCGTTTACGGTTTGGCCGAACCGCCCAGTAACGTCCATTCCAAACTCTCCCTTCCGGTATATCCCAGACGCCGGTGAATTTGTTCCATAACCCCTGCGGATTCGAAAAGATCGCCCATTCCGGGTCCGTAGGTACCGCCATCGCCGTCGTGCTCGTCGCGTCCCGTCCACCAACACCAGGAATTACCACCGGATGCCCTGAAGCCGCCCCCACTGCCGCTGGGTAAGCCATCTGCGCAGTAATCCACTCTTGGCCGATGTTTTTCATCCCTTGTGCTACATTATCGAACGGGTCGTCCACTTCAGTCGCTTTATCCACGGCCTCGTCGAGCGTCTTCGGTTTACTCTCTAGAACTAACTGTCTGGTGGTCTTGGGCAGGCTTCTGATGAACTGCGCCTGTAACACACGTTCGCTGACCTTGTTTTCCCCGTGTGCATCTCGTAATCCGGCTGCGAAATCTGCGAACGTCTCTCCAGGCATAAGGAACCTCTGGTTCACACGTAGCTCCGCTTGCGATTTGTCAGGCCGTTCACCATACCGTCTCTTCAATGCCGCTTTCAAATATGACCAGGTCCTCATCTCGGGCCTCATTCCTTGATCAACTTGCAACCAGAAGCGCGCTGCGTCATCTTGCAGTTTGTTACCCACAATGTAGTAAAGCTCGCCGTCCGTCCATCCGCCACGTCCAGATACACGCGCACCTTCGAGGACGAGGTCAACTTTCTGGATCCACGTCGAGATGGAGTTGTTCGGTGACGGCTGGAACGGCGTGAGTTCCAAGTCTCTAATGTTATTCCTGCGTCCGCGTCGAGAGGTCGGCACCATGCTTCGTTCGCGTGAAACTCGTCCTGCGCCAATACCGTGAGAGTCGCCGGCCGAATCTCCATTGTCGTCATCGT